CTGATATCTGTTAAATGTCATCAATGCTCTACGTTCATATGTTGATGAGAATACATTCAAGCCCTGTAGGTCTTGGCCCCGGGGTAAACAGACAAGACACCTGGCCCTATTGCGTCCAGACAAATATGGTGACGAACATTCATATGCTTCTTGTCAAAAATTTTAATAACTCGATCGTAAAATATGCTCAATCTGCTATGTCACAGAAGAACATCTGGGCATCGGATTAGCTAAGCAGTTCGGGTCGAGGCTCCATTACGATTCTTCGCCGACAATCCGCCCGAGCTACATCAACTCTTCCGGAGATATTCGGTGCACCAAGAAATCCCAAAGTTACCAGGTTGTTGGATTTGTACAGAAATAACCGTCATGCGCCGCACAGCATTACGGGCCATTGAGTCCGCGAAGCCATTGACAAGAGCTCCTCGCGCGGTGTCAAGAAGCCTCTCTACCATCAATGACTCGGCCAAGGTAAGAGAGCCTCGTTGTGTTCTACAACGTAGCGTTATCTTAACTGAAAAACTTTTCATTTCCGCAGGATCCCGCCGAGCTAGAACAAATCACCACACTTCCAAATGGGGTTCGCGTCGCCACGGAATCATTACCGGGTCCCTTCTCTGGTGTCGGAGTTTACGTCGATGCCGGATCTCGTTACGAAGATGAGAGCTTGCGCGGAGTCAGCCATATAATGGACCGCTTAGCCTTCAAGTCTACCAAGGCGCGGAGCGGAGATGAAATGCTTGAGATTCTTGAGTCTCTGGGTGGTAACATCCAGTGTGCCTCATCTCGGGAATCGTTGATGTACCAGTCTGCCAGTTTCAACTCGGCTGTTCCTACCACGCTCGGTCTGCTCGCAGAGACAATCCGCGATCCTCTTATCACCGAAGAGGAGGTTATTCAACAACTCGCAACAGCAGAGTACGAGATCGGCGAGATTTGGGCGAAGCCGGAACTCATTCTTCCGGAATTGGTGCACATGACTGCATACGCCGACAACACTCTTGGAAACCCGTTATTGTGCCCGGAAGAACGGTTAGGCGAAATCAACAAGGCAGTGGTGGAGCAGTACAGGGAACTTTTCTTCAACCCGGATCGGATGGTAGTTGCGTTTGCCGGAGTGCCACACGGGGAGGCTGTTAAGCTCACAGAACAGTACTTTGGCGACATGAAGCCGAGGGACATCAGCAAGACCAAGGGTCCTGTACTGTCAGGCAGTGGAATCGAAACCACACTGTCTGATTCCCAAGCAGCCGCCCACGAAGGCCAGGTGCCGACCGTTCCTTCCTTCACACCCTCATCGACAATCAGCAGCCCGGCTGCTTCCCAAAAAACACAAACTTCGCTCTTGTCGAAGCTTCCATTCCTCAAGAACCTCACTTCCTCCAAGAACTCTACAGTCGAGCCTCTCCACTCATCCCTGGTTAAGCCATCCGCGCTAAACCTCCGCCAACCTGCTCACTACACGGGCGGCTTCATTGCCCTCCCTTCGATTCCTCCGCCAGCAAGCCCCATGCTTCCCCGCCTGAGTCACATCCACCTTGCATTCGAGGCTCTCCCCATCTCCTCGCCTGATATCTATGCTCTCGCTACTCTCCAGACCCTCCTTGGTGGTGGTGGCTCATTCTCGGCCGGTGGCCCTGGCAAGGGTATGTACTCGCGACTCTACACTAACGTGCTGAACCAGCACGGTTGGGTCGAGAGCTGTATTGCTTTCAACCACAGTTACACGGACAGTGGAATCTTCGGAATTTCCGCATCCTGCAGTCCGACCCGAATCACGGAGATGATCGAGGTCATGTGCCGTGAGTTGCAGTCCCTGACCTTGGACACTGGCTACAGCTCGCTGCAAGCGCAGGAAGTCAACCGTGCGAAGAACCAGCTCCGTTCCTCGCTGCTCATGAACCTGGAGTCTCGCATGGTCGAGCTTGAGGATCTTGGACGCCAAGTGCAGGTCCACGGCCGCAAGGTCAGTGTCCGGGAGATGTGTGAACAGATTGAGTCCCTGACAGTCGATGACCTCCGCCGTGTGGCTCGCAAAGTCTTTGGTGGCCAGGTCGAAAATGAGGGCAAGGGCACTGGTAAGCCTACTGTTGTGCTGCAGGAGGGTGAGTTGGAAGGCTACAAGCCTCGGTCCTTCCCCTGGGAGGAGATCCAAGAGCGCATTGCCCGGTGGAAGCTTGGCCGTCGGTAAAAGATGATTCTATGCGTCTGGACTCGCATGGATGTATCGAACACAACGGTCATGTGGCATCTAAAGGATTACCTGTAATTATAGACCATGGCCAGCATTTCGACGATGTAGAATACAGGCTTTACGTGAACACTTAGCCTCACTCAACTTGCCTTTCTATTCTTTCAGTTTTAAGTTTTCAGAATTATTTTATAAGAAGATGTTTCTTTAAATGGCAAGGCGGTATAAAAGCATGCTTTGTGCAAGCTTTTGGTATAAGTTCAGATCTCCATGTTCAACATCACGTTCCATTTTGATGAAGGATGCCAAGACAGCAGAAAAAGGCGGTAAAGCCTCCTTTTCCAACCTCTAAACATCAAAATGACGTCATTGACAGCGGTGACACTGCAGTCTCCAACCGCCATACCTGATTTTCCTGTGTTTAATTCTGACCGCCTGCCTCACCGCCGGTTCTTCATTAAATGCTCATGATTAACTCCGTTCAAAATCTATTAATCGGCTCTATAGTTCAAAAAATTTACGCTGTTCTTATTGGATCTTTGCCCTATTTTGACTAGTGGGTTACTACATAAATTAAATGGAGAGCTACAGCACCGAGAATTAGACCATGAAAGTATACAACATAGGGAATGGAGCCTATATAGTGAATTGAAGTGTAAAATCTTACACATAAAATTCAAGAATTAGATCCGAGTCTAAAACTTGGGAATCATATTTTACTAGTTGTAGGTAGAATCTAAGCACGAAATACAAGTTCAAAATTGTCAAGGTTTGAGAATATAAGGCAGGTGGCTTGCTAGTTCCGCAAATCAGCCGTTAAATCACCAACAAATTCTCGAGACGGTTCTCTGTAAATGAATTCTTTAGGGAGGATTAACTTCAGCAGCGATGAAGTGCTAGAAATGGTGAAAACTAAGCGGTACAAGCTCCTCGCCGCAAAAAAAATCAGCGCCAAACACTGTCCTGATTTCATTCAACACTGTTATGGGACTGTCAGGTGACATTCAGCTGACCGCCTTTGGCTGTCCTCCGGTAGTTGGGAATTTTTGCATCTCCTATGACAATCATCATCAACTCGACCTTCTTCGACATATTTATCAAAATTGCCCAACATGGTCAAGCTTACTGAAGTTGAAGACGAGCACTTCACCGAAAAGCCCACTGCCACCAAGAACGACGCTCTCCTGGTCTCCGATGACGAGGATGACTACTCAGACACTGGTTAGTACCGAATCCCGAACGCTCTAAACCGGAACTCGCATCGCGCCATTATCATTTTCATGGGAATTGCTTCGATGGGATGATACTCTGGTCCTGAATCCCACCACATCACATAACTCCAGTCCCCAATCCTAAATTCACCAACAACGCGGCTTCAAACCCCAGAAATGAACATGCTGGTCGCATATAAGCATCAAGACCCTTATCTGACACGAACATCAATGAACAACAGACTCTGAGATCTCCGACGATGAGGATGTTGACCTCGAGGCCGAGACACTCTACGAGCGTGTCGCCGCTCTGAAAGACATAATTCCCCCCTCCACCCGTCGCACTGTTTCCAACACTGTCTCTTCCATCACAGACCTCACCAAGGCCAGCTTTTCCTTCACCGGCAAGGCCCTCTGGATTATCAGCACCAGTGCTTTCCTTCTCGGTGTTCCCTTCGCCCTGGCCTACGCCGAGGAGGAGCAGTACATCCAGATGGAGCGCGAGCAGGGAATGATCAAGGGAGCTAATGAGGTATGTGTCTTGTGTTTTCCTCTGTTCTTCTTTCTTTGGTTTGATCGAAATTGCAATTATCTCTTATCCCCGATCTGTGCCGTCACTGGCACCATTGACACCGTGTACATTGCTTCCGGCATTCGCATTTCGGCAAGCTTTAAAATTCAAAATTTTCGGCACTATAATCACATGCCATTGTCGTGCTCTTCAGCGGACTCTCACTTTTTGAAACCTAATTCTAACTAAAATATCTACTCGCAGATGCTCACCCCCGGCACCGAAGCTGGAAAGCTCGCTCAACCTACTCTGTAAATTAACACCACTTCAGAGAATAGAGAGATTGACAAAGGATCCAGCGACACGATTATCGACCGCGAGACTTGGCGTCCTGCAAGCGGCCTACCCAAGCGCATGTTGGCGTGATTCTGTTACGTCCTGGGACCTCCAACCACCTGTTTCGGCCTGATCTCGAAAAACAGGACTGCAAACATTCGGAGGGAGTTGACTCCACGATTCTCTTCTTGTTTTGATGTGCTCGGGTCTTTGTAATGCCTTTTTTTTACTTCCGTTTTTCTTCATCTCCTCGCATGTCTCATGCTTTCCGACAATTCCGCTCCGACAGCTTATGCATGCATGTATTTGTACAACCCAACTCATCGTTCTTCCTGTTTCTATATGACCCCTTTCCCCCCCCCTCTCTCCCCATGTGCATGTCTAGGTAATGGAAAATGGATGGGGTTATCTTCGCATTCTGTAGACCTATCCTTCTTGCGGCCAGAGAAGGCCTACAAATGCCGAAAACTGCAATTGATATAGATCTTCAGTAGGCTCTTAGGCGGAGATAGTCACTTGAGATCACTAGCTTGCCATTACTATGATGAACACGCGGGTCTCTGTATTGGTAGGCTAGTTGGGCATGCCTGGAATGTGCAAGAAAAAAAAACCCCTGGGTATCATTGTGAAAGGTTAAGCACCGGAGAGAGCTCGCAGAAGGAGCTCGCAGAAGGAAAGCCATGTCGTGAAACTAGTAACAAGGTTCAGAGACTTCCTGGAAGTTCATGATGAAGCCATCCGAAGACAAAAGCTAGCTTTTGGTCGTGATCATCTCATCATCCGTGGATGGACTAAATACATGAAAAGAAAGGGTCTGATTAGTATCATGGTAGCGCCGAGTACAACAAGAACATACCTCTTTCTCGCGAGCAGACTTGAGATTAATATGGAAGTCCCGCCAAAGCTTATCGACTTCACCAGTTCCAGTCATGCTGCCGAGGACTTCATTCGCATTTCGCGTCTTACGCTTGACGCTCATGTCATTTCGTCGGAGAATTTCGTCGTCATCCATGTGGCCAGTACGCTCCAGGAAATCGATCACCCATTCATTGAGATGGTAGCGCCAGTGGGTGAGGGTGTGGGCGAGCTGGGCTCTCGCCTTGCACTGTCTGTTGAAACAAAAGGAAGCGGTTAGAGGGTGAACTCGATCGAAGCGACTGTTCAAATGAAACCTACTTTCCTAGGAAATACCGGACATTTTCGGGAGGAATGACATGGCCATCTCGGTCCCGCTCCTTTCCATCGTCGTTGTTATTGGAATCCTCATCACTGCCGTTGCTGTTGTCATTCTCATCTTCCAGCGGCTCTAGCGTCTGCAGAGAATACGCCTTCCCATAGAGTTTTATATCACTGGAAGCGGGATGTCCAGAACGCCGGCAAGCATCGCAGGGATGGTTTTCCTCTGTGGGAAATGCAGCGATTTCAATGTGGGGCCGGGCCTGGAGGGCGTAGACAAAACTGGCGTTCCAAACGGAAGAGATTAGCTGTGAACCAGCCCGACCCTTGACTTCATCTTCCAGTTTCATAAATGCCATCTTGTACATGTCGTCAGAGCGAGGGAAGGCCGGGTTGAGTTTGTTTTGCACCATCCAGCCGATGACGTCGCGGAAGTATTCTTTCGGCTGCTTATATGCATGTCGGGTGAACTCGAAGGGGATCTCCTCCGTGGGCACGCCGAGATCGTTCACCTCGTCATCTAGAACAAAGTCGTCTTCGTACCGATCAAGGTTCTCGTTGGGGTCGATGGCTGATTCGATGTCGCTGTCATCGTTGTGATGCTGCCAGAGTCCACGACCAGAGGGACTGGCATCACTGCCGGGTCGTTTAATCTCCTGCACATCCGAATCGTCTTCGTCCTCGTCCACGCCTTCATCTCCTTCATCTCCCTCTTCTCCATCATCCTCGTCTTTTACACCAGCCCGTCTGCGACGGAGGGCTTCAAGGTGCTTCATTCTCTTGTCTCGGGCAGATTCGACATTCCGGCCGCGAGTTCGACTTTTCTTGACAACTACGCATGATTCGCATCAGCCTAAGTAAACGAGCCTCTTGCGCCACTTGGTTCCTACCTGAATCTTGAAGGTCCTCTAAATCCTCTGCGATATCAAGTCTGGCCTGTTTCGAAATGAGGCGGGGGGTGTGGGGAGCTTGGGGGCCTTCTTTCTCCTGTCTACGCCGGAGCCTCTTCATTGGCGAGGAGGCCAATGGCTCGTCCGAGTCGTCATCACTTTTGGACACAGCGGCTGGCCTTGCTAGCCTGCGCCTCTTGGCGGTCGAAGGAGCTACTGGCTCGTTGGAATCATCGCCGCTGAGTATCACTGGTGAACTTGAAGAATGGCCACCTCGAGCAGACCTGCGCCGTTTGGAGACTGAAGAGGCCACTGGCTCATCTGAGTCGCTTGACTCAATTGGTGGGCTTACGGCCTTTCGCTTGAGTGTTCGGCGCGGGCGGGATAGCTCCTCCGAATCAGAACCGTCAGTGTTCTCAGTCTGTTTCTTTGATGATTGTGAAGATCGTTGTGGTTTCTGCGAGCGTGAATTCTTCACAACTTTGTGGTCATTGAGCTTTGGTGGGCTGTTGATCACCACCTTGATGTTGTCGGGTGGCGGGGCTTGCTTTCTCTTCTGGGGGGCGGAGACGATGGGTTTGTCTAAGGATTCATTGTCCGATTGATCTTCTATCAACAGTTCATCTTATTTTAGCTATCTGGCTGCATTGAGGGGAGGAAGCAACACCGTACTCGCGGGTTTATCACTGGACGTCGTCGTGGTGGGGAGCTTCGGCCGTTTCTGCTCGGGTGAAGTCTCCGGCTGCCTTTTGACAGACTTGAGAGGACGGTATGTGCCCAGGCTTGGGTTGTCATATGTGAGTGTTGCATATCGGTTGTTTTGCCCTAGACTCACATCCGCTGAGGGTGCAGCGGTCGAAGTCGCAAAAGCTAGTCGCGTCTGCTTTTTCTTCGATTTGCGGGGTGGCATTGCGAGTGGTCAAAATGGCAGGATAGGCTGGATTAGAAAGTAGAGTGACAGGTGAATATAGCTAGATCGATCACGGCAAAGCCAATGGAAGGAAACTATGTTCAAAGAAGAGTAGAGCTTCAATCTGCCAGCTCAAAGTGGGACTTCGCCGTCGCGGATCGCGTGTTGAGAAAATCACGAGAGCACGTGATCTATCCACTTGAAAGATCAAATCACTTTGGGGGTCTTTGGAAGAGTTTAGAAATCTTTGAGGAAGATAATCTCAGTCTTATGGGATAAAAGGAGTGGTAGTTATCTTGCAGGAGCCTCACTGGAGGTGGAAGGGAGAGAGCCACATGGTGCAAAGTGGAAACTACAAATGGCTTAACGCGTAACGTGAATAGAACAATTGATCAGACATCTGTCTTTGAATATGCTACATGGAAAATTTCGATCAGTATAATATGCAGCTATGCGTAGCTATGGGTGGGTTGAACAAACTGGATCCTATGCAACTATCCATAGAAGCACTTCGATCTATTCTTGTAGAAACAGAAAAACGAAGATCAAAGATGTTCCAAACCCAGGAACGATTTGGATACTTGTGCGGCCTTGCCATGTCCTTTATTTTTTTAAATAGTTCTTAGATATCTTTTCGGAGATTCTTTTCGCTAGTCTTTTCTTTTTGGATATTTCCTCGTCATAGTCTCATAGCGGGGAGAGTAAGTGAAACCAGCTACAGAATGTGGAATACAAGCCATGATAATGTGCAAAACAACCTGTCCATGTACATGCAATTAGGGCTTCTCCAAGATATTTACGCCAGATCTCGTTGTTTTTGGTCCAATGTCTAATATATCTTCTCAAATCATGCTTTTCTCCCTTGGCCTCTTGTTGATGAGTAGAAATTGGACTTCATCCTTTGGCTTTGTGAATTTGGTCTATTCCAACACACCTTTTAGGATCCTTTAAGCAGCTGGCTGTAATTCAGAATTCGGTAGAAACCATGCTTGTGCACCTTATGCCAATAGTTCCACCAAATATCACGAAATCGAGCAGCGACATCGAGGCCTCACAGTTCCATGGAGGTTAGAACATTCGGACTCCAAAGAAATCGCTCCCAATCTCCAGCATGAGCATAGACTCATGACGACAGGGGTGCAGCAAGTACCCCATTAAAGATGCCCCATGCATTCGTACCCTCTTTTCCACAATTTGGGAGGCATCTCCCAGCCTTGGCCAGATATAGTATGGAAAGACGATGTGTTTCATCCTCGATTAAATTATCGCACTGGGTTGCATCAGCCCCTGCAAGCATTTGGCACTGGCGAATGAGAGGATAAATAAAAGACAATGCCAGCCAAAAGAAAAGCTGTAGATCAGTATCATCGAGAGATACGAATTTATAAGCAGGGCCAACCAAGTGATCGGTGCAAGGTACCCCCAAGTTCAGTTCACCACGGGCAAATATCAGAGGGTTTCTATCATCACACACATCATCACGCCATGCCTGACCTTACCCTATAGCCAGATTTTTATCAAATTTGACGGTCTTAGGACCCTACAAATCCTAGTTTCGGCCTTCATTTTTTCAAATTCGAGTCGTGTGGAATTGGAATATACCGAATGAGATAGGTATAGGGCGGTAAGATACTCAGTGGTCTTCTAACTAGGTCAACTATGCTTCTGCTAGATACGTTCGACCAATAGCATATAAATTTTCAATTAAAAGGTCGCTTTGATTCAGGTGTCCTCATCATTAGGACATGTACATGTAGCGCAATGGATCTTTTTTAACAAATTTGATATCGGTCACGTCCTAAGATTATCAGAAAGGTGAGTAAAAAAAGACATTGTTGGTGAGGTTAATGATAAAAGATTGTGTTGGAAGCCATGTGACTTCCATGTTTGCTCCTAGTACTTAGTCTAGCCAGTGCCTGTAGATAGCTTCTCTCTTTTACCACGCATCCAGAGATTTCCAGTGTCATCTACAGCTTCATTTGTAGATTGATTACTATCTCTCTCAGATTGATAATCATCAAGGTTCATAGGCCGTGAAAAGTCTGTTTTATATCTATAGTCAACTTGATCAGGTCCCCGAGGGACTAAGGAACTCGTGATGTGCACCGACGGAGAACAATCGGGAGAAGTTTTATTCTGAGGTTGTTCAACGATGGAGTTAAAATTCTGGAATGAGGCCTATTCTTTCGTTCCGCTTGTGGCCCTTTGTGAGGCAGGGCTCGAATCAAAGCTCATTCTCGAGCAAGATGCCGGAAGAATTCAAAGTGCTGAATCTCAAAGGCCAATTACCCGTTCTAGCAATTAGGAACGGGATAATTATCGAAATGTTGAAGCTCTAACCGAGGGTAAGCTCTCAGAACCTACCTCGGAATTGACAGTGGGGAAATCTTTATAGTCGTTATTCCATTTCTAGTATTGCTGTATCTTTATGCCGGGAGGTTAGAGATCGAGATAGAAGCCAACTAGCTTAGGTATACCACATATATGAACAGTCTCCTCAGGAGACAGTCTGTGGTTAAAGCTTATAGGGCTTAGTTGGATTGGCGAGAAAATGTAATGTGAATTGGGGACTTATGCTCTTCTTAAAGATGGTTTACCACGCTGCGACTTGGTACCCTAACGATGAGGGCATTCAGTTCAACGGGATCTATCATCTAAAAACCCACATGCCGTTCGTTGAAAGTGTGTGTGGAAGAAGCATGGCTTACTCGGTAAGAAGACCATCAAGTATCCTACCGCACTAGATGAGTCTCGTTCGGCATACCTCATTTCCACCCAGCTAGAATTTGAAAACAGCGAAGGTCTGAAGGAGGCTTTGTAGGATCCTGAAACCTCCACAATCTTTGCAGATCTTCCGAATTTCACCAACGCAAAGCCTATAACCCTCGGAGGTGCCCAAATCTAAGACGAAAGTCTACTTGATCAAGAGTAAGTTTGATCTTGACTCTTTCTGTTCATTGTTCGACTACGTGATTCTGACAAGATGAGCAACCTTTCACCACTGACAGGAGAACATTGGCTTCCGGATCAAAATGGAAATGAGACGGTGGATTTGAGCTTGTTGTATCTACCACCTAATTTGATTTTCAAAGCATGGTATTATGAAATCTCGGTACATATCTCTTACCGGCTATCATCTTATTTAAGCAACCCTGGTTTTGTCGGATTTTTTGGCAGATTGATCTCGTTCTAGGATCAAACGGCCGAGGAGGAGATGGAAGCAGCGGAAAGAAGATAAATCTTGGTTTGTGCAATCTGAAAGAGAGGTAGATTAATCTGGTCACATTTTCATGCCGCTAAACACAGTGATTGCCCTGGGAAGTGGTCTAAAAAGCAGCGTACAACCAATCTGAAATCACTATGCCTTATTTCAGGCTTCATACACTCCCATATAACAACCTAATGCCGAGTGCACTGCAAGGTACAGTAGGATAACATATTATTGAGCCGAGACAACCCTGTTCTACTTCCACCATTGCCGTTTACTCGGAGGTTTCGGGGGCCCGAGGTCACCTGGGCGTGGTAGCTGTAGCTCTTGAAGAAAACTAAGAAATTACCAACTTACAGAGTTAAATAGGCCGGTGATCTGGTATCCTAAGTGACGGCGTATCGGAGCTACAAGCAACGGATGCTCGGTAGTGAAAGAGGTTCTAATTTCGCTCCAAGCAGAAATATCCGCCCAGATGAACCGCCTGCGTATTAGCCATGGGTTTAGTTTGATCTGTGTCAGGCTATCAAAGAACATCTTTGGTTTACTCAAGCAAGGCCTCTCCTCCGAAACGAAGATGGCCATTCGAACATTTTCGTCAAAACTTGGAGATTTGAGAAAATTTGAATTAAATTAAACAGATGTGAAGAAGCCCTCTGCCTGGACTAACCCAAACCTCATGCGAATGGAATAAAGCACAGATAGAAGTTCCAAATATCACCAACTCTAAATTTCAATCTCAAGTATAACGCAGAAATAGAAGGTGCGGGGGGATTTAGGGACAGTCGCTGATGCACCCGCATCAGCGTGGGAAGTTGGTCGATGTCGTCTGTATTATGTCCCCTGGGTTCCTTAATATAAAGACCTTATTTCGGGTTATCAAATGGCCTTTTTAGCGGCGTTTTGTCCGCGGTATTTGCGTGTCATCTATCTCGGCTGTACCAATTTTGAGATTTGATGCAAATCAGACAAGAAGAAATCAAGTGATGGCAGTAGAGTTGGTTATAGTTAGTAGAAAATTCGAATCACAAAAGGTCTTCTTAACTCTGCATCTCTACTTTGTAAAATAGAATCTAGCTTGCCCTTATCTACGGGCTAAGAGAACTACAGAAGTCCAGTCGCTTATAATCTCTTGCTTATTTAGCTTAGCACCCTTGCCAAATGTCTTAAATCTACGGAGTACTCCGTACTTGGATACCACAATCCTTCACCATTTACCCTATTGGTGGACTTGGATTTCTCCTAAGCCACTGCCATCTAGCCCCCCCCCGATTCGTGGAAACCTCCTCCCAACTTCATCTCGCCGGAACGAAAGCTTACAAAAAATCTCCTCAAAACCCAGATCTTTGTTAGATCTCTATTACCCCAGGTCTGACTAGCGTAAATGAGAAAGCTTCAAACCAATGAGAAGTTGAATGGGGCGCGTTGCCCCATGCAGTTGATCCCCAGATACCCCACCACTCAGTGATCCTGGAGACCAGGGTTCCCCATTATCCAAATGCTAAAATGCGCTTAGCGGGTCCGGGGTTGTTGATTCTGGGGATGGACCGGACCCACTGCATGGCGCTTTCTCTGTTCACATGGGCTGGGGTTTTAGTTTCGCCCTCGGAATGTGCCCTTGTCGCGGCGTGTGATTGCTTAAATAGCTGCGGTCTCCGCGTACTCATCTGTCCCCCCCCCGTACTGTAGCTCCTCGGTCACTGTCCGTTGTCATAAACATATTGAATTGTGGTGCTATAGATTAGATAAAACTCTTCGACCTTGTTGAGAACTCGATTCCATCACATCCTATCAGAATGGGCCTTTTAATGACCCGCAAGAGAGCGTACAATTGGTCGGTGCACAGTTATTAACCCTGGAGGTCTTGTTCTAATCTCACTTTCTAGGTACATCTCTTGTGTCGCGGCATCCTGCATGGTACTTTACGGCTACGATGCATCTGTGTTCAACTCCGTTCAAGGCTCCAAGAACTGGCTGGCTTGGATGAACAACCCAAATGCGGCGACAATCGGCTCTATTAATACAGCCTACACGGTCGGCGCTATCTTTGGTGGTTTCTTCCTGGGAGGACCATGTGCAGATTTCCTGGGCCGCAAGCTTGGAATGGGCATTGGCTGTGCTTTGGTCACTGTTGCCACCTTTATGCAAGCCTTCTCTCCTCGCCACGATCTTGCTTGCTTCCTTGCAGGTAGATGTATCATTGGTATTGGTCAGGGTATTGCATTGAGTAAGTCTTGTTGATCGTATAATTTTAATGACACGAACTGACAAAGTTACGTTGCAGCTGCTGGCCCTATCTACATTGGTGAACTAGCCCCATCTGAGATCCGTGGCAAAATCATGACTTTCTGGCAGATGTTCTACTCTGTTGGATCGTTCATCTGCTTTTGGATCAACTTTGCCTGCACCAAGAATGTCCCTAAGCTGGGCGAGTGGGACTGGAAGTTGGTGGTCATTTTCCAGCTTTTGGTTCCTGTTCTGATCCTTGTCCTCCTACCGACCATCCCTGGCAGCCCTCGTTGGTAAGACCTGATAATTTTCACTGGTTCGACAAATCCTAACCATTACTAGGTACATTCAAAAAGGCAACAACATCGAAAAAGCTCGCGAAGCCCTGCAAAGGGTTCGTGATACTGAGGAGGAAGTCGAGCAAGAACTGCTGGAGATTCGTGAAGCCATCGAATACGAGAGGGAAGCCATCTCTAGCAACTACTCTGCTCTCTGGAAGGACAAGTCTCTCCGTAAGCGCATGGGTCTGGCACTGATCCTCAATGCTGGCCAACAGATCACTGGACAAGGCTCGCTCAACTCATACTCCACCAAGATCTACCAGAAGGTGTTTACCAGCGGTAGTCAGATTGCTCTGATCAACGCTCTGAATGCCACCTTCGGAATCTTTTTCACCCTAAACGCCGTCTGGATCATTGATCGATTCGGAAGAAAGTTCCTTCTGATTGTCGGTGGTATCGGCATGGGGTTCTGCATGATCATTGTCTCTGCCGTCGAAACAGAAACACCCCAACTCGCCAATGGAGCCAAGTCAGAACCTGTCGGTATTTCGATTGTATTCCTTTTGTTCTTGTTCATCTTCTTCTGTAAGTTCCCTCTCCTCACTGTCTTCTCGTACAGATAACCCTAACGTCAACTCCCAGATAAACCGTCTTGGGGCGCAACAGTGTGGATTTGGACGTCCGAGATCTTTTCGATGAATGTCCGCGCCCAGGCCGTGGGTATGGCATCCCAGACGCAGAACATCGCCAACGCCATCGTGCAGCAATTCTTCCCTATTTTCCTCGACCACGAGGGTTTCTACGCCTTCTACATGTTTGCCGGAATCAACTTCCTCCTTGCACTCTTCGTCTGGTTCTTTGTTCCGGAGACCAAGCAGGTTCCCCTTGAGGAGATCAATACTCTTTTTGGTGGTGCCAACCACGTTTCTCGGGGAGAGGAGGTGCTGGCACATCAGAAGGGAATTCAGATGAGCCACAACGGTGGCGAAAAGCCTGATGCTGTCACTGTCGAGTATGCTCGGAATTAGTTGGTTTGTGTCTATGTTAAGATTTTGATATACCAGATGCGGTTTTAATGTCCCAAAGTGTTATGAGCGAGATGTACTTATGTTTAGCAGGCAGTCATCAATGTAAGAGCGCTGAGCGCTATTTATGAGGCCCGTTTACTTCCTAGCTTTCTACTTATGTCATCCATGAGTAAGAAGGAGAAATGTGTTTCTGATTTCTTTTGGTAACCCCAGAGACAGTACCAATTTAATTCTTTGGCGAATGGAATATCTGCGAGAACATCACCACTAGAATGGTTTTCGTGGCGGGGATGCCCCGGGGGAGGTACAACCTCTCATCAATACACCCATCACCGGTGTCGTCTCATTGATCTGAAAAAAACGGACAACGGCGATTCTTTGAGCCGTAAATTTCGATTGAGGAATTGCCTTATAATCAGAAGAAAGCGGCTATTCTGAAGGCCAGCAGATTATGCCGCTGGCAAGGGCAGTCCGGGCAGTGTGCATGACCATTTCTGGAGTGAAGTTGTCGATCCTCAACAGTCCCTCGATGGGACGACGATGGCGTGCTTCCACTTCCTGGCCCAAGCCCCAGATTGTGGCGGAAACAGTCCTCTACCGTGTCTCACGTCCATTGCTCCCGGTGAGCGAAATGCGCGGCCCATGATGGCAACTCTCACCGACCACAAGCCCCTTCCAAGAGTCGTCATGAATCCAGTCTTTGACAATTTGCCCTGAAAACAACCATATGTCGTAGGGGGGCGCGGGACCCGAGGCGGCTAGTCCGCCACTTTGCAACTGTACTTTAACTGGCCAAGTGAGCGGCCATGCCGACGTTACCGTCACGCCCGACAGTGCTGGGAGTTGACGTGAAACAATTGAGGCCACGTATCACAAATACTCTAAGGATGGCAACAACTTCATCACAGGCAAGAAGGTGTCAAAGTTTCATCCCATTTCTACCCTGATTCATGTGGATTAGATCTCAGACCTGTTCTTGACTAGAATTAGCAACCGTACAAAGATCACAGGCTATGGTGGGTCTCGCTTCGATTTGGACGTTTAATGGAACAAATCCTACGCGAATGGCGCGTTGATCACTCCCATTGATGGAGTGTTCTAGAGACGGCTCCAAAGTGAAATTGAAGGCCCTCTGCATTTTATTGCTCCCCGATCCCCTGGGGTTCCTCAGCTGGTGATGCTCTTCATAGTACGGATCTGTGATCTGTCGACCAGGATCCTTCATTCACCACCTAACTAAGTTGTACAGGCAGAGTAGCATTGACTTATTTAAAACATTACACTCATTGTACCTAGCTACCTGCACTACACACGGATCTCATTATTGCTCCAAGTTTCTTTTAGTAGGATTCTTTATGTCTCAAGTTCCATTTCCGAAACGGGTTGATCTCTATCTGAAACCAAAGCTGAAAACCCGAGCCAGGGTTGTCAGATCATGTAAATAGTATGTTTACGTTTATTCCCACTAATCGATTGAGATTCAAAGCCCGAATTATGTATTCTGGTGAGAGAAAAAGAAAGAAAAGAAAAGAGCCTCATTTCCTAAGCGCGGTCAATTGCTGTTTGGTATACATTTCCGATAGTCCCATAGTTTAAATCACCAATTGCTAGGAAGCCAGGAGATCTCCACTAAACGCAGCTATTGCTACCGGCAACAAAAACACCGTTCGAGTTCTCACAGCCACACTCTCCGGTCTTGGGAGACTTGATACAGGTCGTGCCGAATCCGGCGCTGTTTCCACCATTGCCCCAATAGAAGATCCAGGAGTCCGAGCTCGCCACCAACTCATGACTGGCAGGGGGAGCGCAGGTATACGCAGTGCATGTGCCGTAGGGAGCACCGTGAGAGGAGTCGTATTGGTGGTCAGTCTCGAAGACAGCGAATGTTTGGGTGGTGGAAGTGCGAGTGTTGTGGGAGCACTCGGCCGCTTGGATGGCCCTAGAGACCTTTGCAGCTATTTTGGTGATAGTCAGCACAAGAGCGCTCGTTTTTCGTTCGTTCTTATCACGCACCACCGCAGTTTAGTCTACTCGGTCTGTAACCCTTGGTGTTCGACGAAGCTGGGTGGAGGGTAGCTGCCACAATAGCTGGTGCAATAAGCAAGGCGATGAGGTTGGTGAGCTGCATTTTGAAGGATGATTGCTTGGAGTGTATGAGTATAGAGGAATTTAAGGAAGCACAGAGAAATCCGCAGTTGAAGTATTTATACACCTGCTTATAAGACCCACAATGTTGATACTCCGAATCACAGGACGCGGAAGATAGACAAGGTCAACTGATACCAAGCCATGTCGACAGAAAGGAGTCGAGCAGGGCCTAGAACTAGAAATTGAACGTGCCAAGCGGTCGACACTCATAGACCTATTGATGGTACGCCAGATAATTCCCCCCCATGCCGACTTATTTTCATTTCTCCATGAACTTTATTAGCATTTTACACTCCGCCACGATAGCGGAATAAATTAATCATCTCGACGATTGAATTCAAAAAGTGTATTAATATAATCTACTATGCTAGAAAGCCTACTATCGCCTAGTTAGCGCGAGAATTTTAAGGTTTGATGCTAATTACGGTGCCTGAATATAGTAGCAAAACCACCGCTACTCCGTACTAGTCAAGACAAAACCTTAAACCCTAACTAAAGAAAAAGCGTTGAAAACCTAGAGTGATACCCTCTCACATAGGTAGGTATACGGAGTACGGAACATACCCTTTACTTACTAGAAAGGCTGCAAAGATGATTTGACGCCGCGCAAGTTGCGACTATTGGGTAGTGGGCCCTAATTAAGTATACCGCTACATATAACGACCTCCCCTGCACTTCCGGCATTTTCCGAGATCCTGCTCTTCGCTAGGTTGTACGGTTTTTCGAACGAAGTACAAATGTAAATGCCCCTTTATCCACACTAAAACACTAAAAGTTGGGCCGAGTTAAGGAGTTCTCATACGGCTATTTCTACTATCATAGCCATAAGAAATAATAAATCTATTCTAAGATCTAGAGTCTCGGTGCTTTCTGCAAATAGGAACATAGTAGATAGGCGAGAAGCCGATTCTAAAGAGGTAAAGCACTTGTCGGAGGTCAGGAGGATTTAGAAGCTAAGCAGCAAGTCGAAAAGGCTAGGGATCTAGCTAAGGCTTAGCATAGAGCTTTGATAGCGGTAAGAGATATTAATGGTTCAAGTTATTACATAGAAACTATTTGTGGCTACTGTATGGTACAATACATGGTTGAAAGGAGGGAATTGAAATCATCGGAAAATCCACAGACCGCAGATCCTACACAGAGAAGTGCGCATTGAGATTAGTCAGATTGTCTAGTGAAGGTTCTGTTCGAGTCATTATAGTTCGAGTTGTGCAAAGTTAGTCACTGATCGTACCACACCCTGTTGTACCACTAGAGTTATGTCAGTTATCCATCAGCATGGATTTGAATACCACAGGCTACGCTGAGAAGATTCACCGATCCTCTGAAAGTGGTCAACATGACAAATCTATCACGTCCTAATTAGTCGCGGCTTTGCATAATTGACTGGTAAGATGTTACCGATCCGTTTCTCCATACCTTAACATCTTTTCTGATCCGGCCATAAATGTGAAAATGTACGGGAAGTGCACCACTGTTCCAAGGTGATCCCAGATATCTGGCGCATCCAAAGAGCAACACACGGCTCTGATAAGCTATTTGAGAAGATTGTGCGAGCGTTATAATTTAGTTGTCTCTGATTGAAACCAAAACGTGCGTAAGATACGGGCAGGAATCTCGACGCTAATTGATCCAATCCTATGGAGTTCTTCGGATGTTGTATAGTTGTTCACTTGTTATCAAAATTGTCGTTGAGGCGCATTAATACCGTATTGTGGTTGGGTGCTTGATACGCTAGTCCTAATGAGGTGATTTTATTTTTTTAAAGTTCAATGTCGGTGGGACTGCGATAAGGACGATTCCAATATGTTTCAGGGGGAGGGCCCACTTCAACCTCAGGTTACAACACCTGAGACTCCGTTGTTATCAACCAGAGAGGAAAAAAAATTTAAAAAAAATTAACTATAACTGGTCAGTTCGGTGTCGGCACTTCGAAAGCTCTGGAATCTGCGATAGAGCTACTGCTATCAGATTAGGTTGAATTCACCCAGCACTCACCACCGATGGATTATTAAGGTCAGGACAGAATCACATTCAGAATGGACGCGTCATTCAAGTTTCATGAAGATGGAGCTGTTTGAGTGTTCACATGGCGTGTCTCTTTTCTATCCCCTGAGCGTGCCCCAGCACTAGGAAACAACTGGGAGATACCTCGCACAGCACAAAAAGCTTATTTTGAGGAGACGATCAGTCTCATTATCTTCCTGTCACTATATGAAATAAGCTTCATCCGACAGCTTAAAAAAAAAGCTTCAGAAAATACCCTTTAATCAAAGACCTCAGCCCCAACTTGTTAGGGTTGTGCTTAGCTTCAGATTCTATGGAGTACCTGGCCACGACGGACCCCGAATGATTCGATGTCAACCGAGCAACACAACCAAAGTATGCTCTCAGGCACACGGATTGCACTTTAAACAATTAGCAGTGCATTCGTTAGGCCGACGAGACGTAATGGTCCTGGAGTACGGAACACACACGCGGGTATTTGTAACTCAATCGGACGTGCGGAAATTAACGTAGATTTCATGGATGTGCTAGGCGGCGACTTTCGGCAGATCAAAGGCCTTTTTGTAATTCGATAATTGTAGCAGAAGGAGTGGAAGGGTGTTACCTCTGAAACACATGTGAAACAGGACCTCTATGTTGTATTCCCAACATCACCAACAAGTAAACCCAAGTCATACGTGTATTCCTATACGCGTATAGAGAGCGCAGAGTTTGTTTTTAATCTATCGGAGGATCAGTGCCGATCGGTCGACGATCCTCTCCACTTCTTACAGAAACTCCAAGGTTCTCCAGGGCTTCACAACTACAACAAGACAGAACAGAAGGGCGAGTGATAGGTGCTTAATTCTGATCATGGTACATTGATATTAACTGAACAGGACTGACCCTCAACCTTCAACAGGCGACCATAAAGATAGGTCGATCCTCACATTGGGTTTGGCAAGCGGGTGCCATAATAAAGCCAACAACCCGCCAAGTCCCTGTCCCCGTGTCAAGCTTGTCATGTTCTTGCTACTGATGCTTGAAATAGGATCTGTTTTTACCCTTAATTTTCTGTGGTGGGCGGGGCCCGTAAGAAACGCAGGGCTCCCTCATGCGAGTTCACCTTGGGCTACCCAGACTACGGTGCAGATTCCCCCATCCACCATCACTCTAGCGCATGGCGTAAACTTCGTCAACAAGGACCACTTTGCCCTCTTACGGGTTAGATTCGTTTCTGATTCCGTTCGAAGTACAAGACGTTGTGAGGTACCGGATCTCGCCCACCGTCCGCTCCGGACAACTGGCTGTTAGCTTGAGCCAAGCCCAAATTTTCAGTCTCTTTGTATACCTTTTTCTGCCACCGGAGTTTTGATTCTTACCTCGAGGGGAATTTTGATTCGGCGCATGGTAAGATCGGCATGTCTGCATTGGTAAAACGAGAGCCGAGGACACCGACGGCAAGCTTGTTTAACGGAACCCCATGACCGAAGCCAAGGTTGTTCTGCCAGAAGACGGCGTGCCTGGCAAGCACTTCTTAGCCTGCGTGGATGGTGAGAAACGGGATCGATTGGCTTGGGTAGGAAACTGTGCATACCACCAGGGTCATCGGAGTCATAAGTAACCGCAACGACCATATCCCCAGTACTTTTTGGAGCTCCTCGGCTATCAACTTTCCACCTACCAGCTACATATGGCACAGGAATCGGTAGGAGCTCGCGTTGAATCGGAATTCCTCGTACCAGAGCAACTCCACTAGACTCATTGACTTCGTTGTCTTCAGAAATGCCTTCCGAGGCACCTTTAGTGGCTCGGCTATCAACACTGCGTTAGTGGAAGTTTCTAGAGGGATGGCCTCTATAGCTGCTGCCGTTGGATATTCCTCATTAGCCAAAAGATGGACTGCACGAGCTATATCCATCAAAGCTGGTCTCAACGCCGCTTAACGCCGCCTTCCAGGGGGGAAACATTATGACATCTACTCCCTACGGACATCTGACCTTGGAAACTCTTTGATTGCCATACTTGGCTTGGGCCATTACCTCTAGCGTAGTCTATCATATCCAACTCATCAGCTCGCTGGCTCACTTGCCTGCCCTTAAGCCAGGATTGGGATATCGTGACTCTAGCAAGGTCGCCTCGTCCGACTCAACTGCCAACCTCTCGCCGAACACAGATAGGGTCCTCCTCGCAGCTCTTCTGCAACAACCACAAGCAGAGCCCGCTGCATACTTGCGCAACAATGTTCAGGACGAAATGTGGTTACATACAAATCTATTGACGCTGGTGCTAGCTGAGAAGACACGCGTACGAGAAATTATCTAGAAGCATTAGCATAGTCCTAAAAGGCGTTGATGCCCAAGGTATCTTGGATGAAGTGGGGCGGAATGGCCAAAATCAAATATCTCATTGGAGAATCTGCATTTTAAGTGAAGTGGAACCATCGAACTTCCGTTTTTTAGTTCCGATGTAGTATGGGGTTCAAGATATCAGTCCTTCTAGTACATAGCAGTACGGCTTTTTAGCCTTGACAGAGAGTGAAGTTTACTGATACGTTCGAAAAGTCATTCTTGAATGGTACAGAAAGACGATCTAAAAAAGAGAAGACTGCATAGCATTCAGTATACGAAGTGGGCAAAATGGGGAGTGGGGAGGGAGAGAAGAAGAGAGAGATACAGCAAACAGGATCTACCCCATGCATGTATTTGCATGACTAATTGGGCACAGCACCCGTAGACGTGGACAACAGTACTCCGACTGCAGACCTCACCATCTCGTTCATCACCTACTCCTCACGGGCTGGTTCTTCTTCCATTAGTTTTGCCTGAAAAGACTTTCCTACGAAAAAAACGATGGCGTTCAAGGTAAACACAACTTATCTCCTCCACATCGTTTTCATTTTGGTAAGAGATTCGAGTTCCAGCCTAGCGATGACCTCTGTTGACCAGTTTCACTACTAGGGAGGAGCCATCTCCTTGGTCCTTGGAGCGTGAGTTATTGCATGCTCTTTCATATATTTATTTGGCGTTTATTGCACGGGGATGGTACTAATAGTCTTCTCGCGGCACAGGATATCTTGGTCTCGTGCCACCGCACTGTTTCTTCCTTTACCGACATGGGTTCCAGCTGTCGCAACCCTCTTATCCCCGATTACAGTGCTCACGCTGATAGCGACGCAAATTTTATCTGCACGTGTGAACAACGAGACAGCTCGCAATTATCGATGGACCACGATATCTAGCATACTCGACCAGGTTCAAACGGTCATATCGATCATCGTGGCTACAGTAGCACTTGTGTACCTCTTTCCCGACAGGATTCTCTCATGTAACCTAAATGAACAATGGCAAGAGTTCTTCCAGTCAAAGAATTCTCAGGCCATCCGGTCAATCCAAGACGAATTCCGATGTTGTGGTCTTCGAAGTCTTCACGATAGGGCATGGCCTTTCAAGGACCGGAACCATGGTGACAATGCATGTGAATTGCAACTAGGATATCGGAGAAGTTGCTCTGCCCCTTGGAGAGAGCACCAGCAGCTTACGTCTTGGATGGTTTTTGCGGCGGTTGTTTTTGTTTTCGCGGCGAAGGTGGGGTTTACCTCGTGCCAGTTACCACAGTGAGACTTGTCGTGTAGTTGCTGATATTCCGCCACTTTTTACAGATCGCTTTCTTTTTGCTTTCCAGTCATCGGACGAGTTGGATGAGCGCACAATCTGCCAACCGCGGGGCGGATTACCAGCGGATTTCACACCCGGCGGTGCAGGACGAAGGGGAAAACGAGAATGGCATTCCTGAGGAACCGCAAAGGACATTGTTACCCCAGTCAAATACCGAGTATAGAAATGATTGGCAGGTGGATTGAGTCCGAGAAGCCTTTTGCCCAGCCAAAAGGGAGAACAACTCTCGGCTCGACCTTGTCCTATATCCGGATTGTGTAATTTTAGATATTCACACAGTTCTTGCTCAGAGAATGTCGACATCCATTAGCTCTACCCTCGTGTTCGAGAGTAGTTTTACCTGCGCAGTTTCTCAATGTCTCACACTGACAAAATTCCAAATTAGACGTGGTGTCACATCTCATCTGCCAAGCTTTGTGTCACTGACGAGTCGCTGTAAATCGTGATCATTATATCATCTACACAATCCTCAGGGTTGAAGAAATCGTTTTCTTTCTGATAGGCGCCTCAAATCAACCCATTCAATGGCAAAGTTGAAAAACAACCTGAACAGCACTGAAAGTGATATGCAGACGGCTAAGCGCTCTTCGCTTCTTAATGGAATTCTCATTATGATCCGTATTTATGCTCTGGCGACTAACTACCCATTCCGGTCACTATCTAGTTCTGATATCTCCCTTTTGTTGCCTGCAGGAAGTTCCGAGTACATGTACGTGCCCCCGCCCAACTCAGAGCGCCCGTCTCTGGCACCCACTGGAAGTTCAGACATCGGCTGCACTTGGCGTGTTACGGTCTCAACCTCGCCAAATCTCGCATGCTTTTGCTTTTTATTTCTTGCAAGGAAGAACCAGAACAGACCTATGATCAGGGCTAGGCCAGCCACGCCACCGACAACCCCACCAGTGATGACACCCCTGGTCGCTGAGTCGGATGGGTTTAATTTCGGTGGCGTAGCTGGGGAGGCGGTTGTATTATCAGTAGCAGTACTAGTTTTCGTGTCAAGATTGCCGAAGAGGGCTTTAAAGGCTGGATCAGCCCACGATGAGGGAGATGGTGAGGCTTTGATGTCGTTGGCCGTCGAAGAAGATGGGGAAAACGAAGATAGGGCGGGCTGCTGAGCTATTAATTTGTTGAACTCGGCTTCGTAGCAGGTGGAATAGCTCACATCAAACATCGATCGCGTTGCCTCGGATTGAGCGTCATATATGAAGGCCGGAGCATCGTAACAGCCTGCATTGCCGTCATCTGCCCAGGCACGCCTTCCGCCAATTCCAAATATCTGACGCCCGTTTGGCACACATGTGAGTGTCATGTGCGGGTCGTCGAGAGGAGCAGCAGAATTCCATTTGAAGGATGGAATTGATAAGTAATTTCTAGGACAGTGTCAGGTTGGTGCGTGGGGATCACGATAGAAAGCACACCACGTACACATCCAGAATCGGGTCTTTCGATTTGAGATCTGCCCCTCCAAGAACATATATCTGATACGAGGACGAGGATTCGTCGTGTTGCACGGAGGCGCAGAATTGGGTTCGGGACACTACAGCCCCCATCGTGGACTGGTTATACCATTTTGCCCCCGCAATGTCATGCACTTAGGACATAGCTCCATGGATTCTGAGACCTACATTTAGTGTTCTGATTTGAAATAAGAGATTCCCCAAGCTTACCGAACTCATCGTAGCGTTGATTCCATCTTGAATCGAGGGAACATCGCCACCAATATACACCAGAATTCCCCTGTCGCCAACCGGCACGAATGAAAGCGAACCTTCTTCTACGGCTTTGTAAGGCCCGTCGAGAGATGTGTACTGCCCGGCTGTAGTGTTAAGTTGAATCATGCCCGTGGCGTACTCCTTCGTTGAGTCTGTGATTGAAGCTGTCGTGCCACTGCCCCGATACCCACCTAGCCAAAAGCCAGCTTGGATCGCGGGTGCATTCGTATACACTGTCAGAGCGCTGGGTTCAGAAGGACGTCTCAGTCTGGCGATTGGATTTCAATATACCACCGTACTCCAGTCGCAAGGGCTGAATGGTACCATCCTGTTCGCCCCGAGCACTTTCCCCGATACTCTGAAGTAAGTGGTCCTTGACAAGAATTGAACCAACCCCGAACCCATCTATGTAAAAAACACTCCGAGGTGTTTTTAGATGACTTTTCAATCTATAGCCCGGTATTCTGGGGAAAGAGACTGTCTGCTACAAAGACTCATCAACTGATTTCGCGCTTTGCGGGGTTGATGTCGTGACTCGGGACACTTGATCTCCATGGCGCGATCCCACCCTTTGAACACGCAAAGCTGATCAATTTGCACTATTTAAAGGGCCACAGCTGACTGCTGCTTCTCTCGTTACTTTCTGCATTGCCATCATGTCCGTTCAGACTATCACGGTGCCCACCCCCGACATTCAGTATCATCCGGATTTGGAAAAGTACAAGCAACGGACTCGTCGCCGAAAGGAGACTGAGACCCTCCAAACCACTTTACCCGCAGGCTTCCCACAGAAGTTGGTATCGTCACTGGTCTGGGAAGGAAAGGATGTTGAAAAGCGGGATGACTGGGTTTATCAGTTGAACCATGACCAACTTGATGAACTCGACGCTGCTTTGAAGAGTTTCAGAGGTGGGTAATTATTGCCAGGGGGATTGTTTTACTTTTGTTAATCTAGCAGCTCTCAACCTTTCCTTGGGACACATCAATCAATCAACTTTCCCTCTACCTACCCTCCGACCGGTTCTTCGTCACCTCTCGAAGGAGATCCATACCGGTCGAGGATTCGTCGTGCTCCGGGGTCTACGTATCGATGATTACTCGCGAGAAGAGAATGTCATCATCTATACCGGTCTCTCTTCCCACATTGGCAATATTCGAGGACGTCAGCAATACGTTCGACTGGAAAATAACGCTTCACCCGTGTTGTCCCACATCAAAGACCTCACCACCACAGCCCAAAAGAATCTTATCGGGGCTCCTTCGAACACAGCCGACAAGCAGGTTTTCCACACCGATGCTGGCGACATTGTCTCCCTCCTTTGTCTGAACCGAGCCGCCGAGGGAGGAGAAAGCTATCTTTCCAGCAGCTGGCATGTGTACAACATCCTAGCCCAGGAAAGACCTGATCTGATTCACACTCTGTCCCAGAATTGGCCCCTCGACGGGTACGAATCACCAAGGCACCCAAGGCAGCGTATTCACAACCCTAACCCTGTTCAGCTTCAATAACCCAGCCAGTCCTTACACTCTCCGCCCACTGCTATACTACCACCCAGCCACTGCCACTACCCCTGAAAGGGTGCTCATCCAATATGCACGACGGTACTTCACCGGATTTCTAGCTCAGCCCCGATCGAAGGATATTCCCTCTATCACGGAAGCGCAAGCCGAAGCGCTGGACGCTTTGCACTTCTTGGCGGAAGAGCACAGGGCCACTCTGGATTTCCAGAAAGGTGATGTGCAGTATGTGAATAACCTTAGCATTTTCCATGCGCGGAATGGGTTCACAGATGCGCCTGGGCAAGAGTACGTTCCTTTTTGCTTTCGCGCGTGCTTCTCTTTATTTATTTTTTTTTACTGATGAGGCTGACTGGTATGGCTCTGTTAGGCGTCATCTGTTGAGGCTCTGGCTGCGAGACCCTGAAAATGCATGGGAAATACCCCAGGAGCTCCAAGCCCGCTGGGATACTGTCTACAAAGATGTTTGGGCGGAGGAGCAGGTGTTCCCATTGGAGCCGACTATTCGCAAAAGTGTCTGATCGTGGGAGTAATAGCACGATACACTCATGTGCTGGTGTATCTTTCGCTGAGCATTGGTATTCAAGAGCGGCAACGTGCGGTAACGTTCCGGGGTGCCGCTCCTTCCTCTCAGCTTGGATCGGTTTGACTGGACACAAATCTTACTTTCCAACACGACGTCAAATTCTCAAATGAACCAGAATGTCCCGTTCTTTGGCGAGGCGCTGGGGATCACATCTCGATCACATCTCGATCACATATAGTGCTATAATGTACTTTACAATTGTTAATGCGGGCTATACCGGAGATATATAGAGTAAATTTTGACACTTGCCAGATTTGGAGATGTGCATCTTAATAGATTAATTCATGTTAATGTGTGTTAAGACTGTACCAGGCCGATGGATTCAATTTCCTGTTCGGGACAGTTTGCTCCACTTGGATGGGTTGATCGGCATCTTTTTCCCGAGTATGACGTAGCACACTTGGTTGATGATCACCATGACTACGAAGATCACTATGGCTATGATTCGTACTTTTAACTATTCGTACTTTGACTATTATGAGGATTAGTGAATGCAAATTTCCCAAGCTCCAATTGCAGATCAGCTTGCCGATCAGTAAGTTGATCTTCCAAGCTAAGCATCGACGAAAATTATGTGGGGGCATACTGCGTGATTAATGGACAGACAACTGGAGATCCAACGATACTACAATACACAACCTCACGGGTACGGAATTGGGTTGGGTGATGTCCCCATTGTAAACGAGATCGTGTCCCTATTTAATCAAAATCACTCCCCCTTCACCCTACTCTCACCTCACATCATCTCAGATGCGGCGAACTCCAATCTCCACCAAAATGCCAAGAATACTATCTCCACAAAAGAAGCATGTCCAGTCAGTGAACTCTGACTATCCATGGAGATCCGACAACCCATTCAGTCCACCTCCAGCACCGCAACCCGCCCCTAGTGGCATCAAACGACTCCGAAATACACTATCAAAGCTCTCGCCATCTGCGTTTGTGGAGAAGGAATTCCTACAAAAAAAGAACCTGCACCAAAGCCCATTGACCAAGAGAAACGTCGACACCTTGGTCACCGAGCAAGAATGCAATGAAGCCTACAAGCCCAATCTACACTCGCCCCAGGTTCAAGTCACTGAATGGTTACGGCGAGTCTCCTGAGTCCAAATGTACCATTGCACACACACCCTCTTTGGAAAAGAACACGAGCACGACGATGGGAATGTCAACGAGGCTTCTTCTCACCCCTCTTCCCCTCCCGCCACTCCCACTCCAGAGCGCCCGTCGAATACGGGGAAGCTCAATCCTGGTCCTCAAGTGGCTGGTTAAGGGCCAGAAAATCAACTTGTTATAGATTGCTCCCGGGGAAACCACTTGGTTGCTGAGGTTCTGCTGGGCGTCAACGTCTTGATTTGCAAGTATGCATGCCGAGAACGTTATGCTCCGCCTTATTTTTTCAAATGGAATTTGGAAGAAATGTACAAGGTACCCATATACATCGATTTAGACACTCCGAAACAATTCACATAGAGTGTGAATGATCGAAAGGTTCGGCTCGATGCGGGTATAGCAGACAGTGATGAGGTTCAGGCGAATTGATCCATCCATCTTGTATATGATTTTTGTCCGTAGATCTTGTGACAAAGTGTTTCTGTCATACACTGTATACCATCCTATTCAAAAGATTTTTGTCAGGCACCGATTTTGGAGATAAAAATGAAAGAAGACCCGAACTGTTTCTCAAGTGGATACAGGCGGGGTAAGTCTAGCGACAACAGCTCTCGACTCAGCCTGGAAGTTGTATGATTTCCAACGTTGGCAGATTGCAAAGTACACATCGAACACAAAGAGATGCCATAGGACTGACTCTCTGTACATTGGAAACATCACCAACCCTAAGATGCCTCCCAAGATGCCACCGAAGAAAGTAGCAATAATTGGTAAGTCTACACACCCAAGTGGTGCCAAACTAACATTCATGTCCCCCAGGTGCTGGCCCCTCAGGCCTAGTCACTACCAAAACCCTTCTTCATGATTTTCCTCGCGGAACCTTCTCTCCAATCATCTTCGATAGCCAAGACCAAGTCGGAGGTCTGTGGTCAAGTCACCATGCTCCCAATCAGGCCAATGCACCCCTGGTCACCCTAGACCCTCAAATGCGGACCAACCTCAGTCGCTTCACAGTGGCTTTTTCGGATCTTGACTGGGAGTCTGTGATTCCCGATGCGGACGTTCCGATTTTTCCTCGGGCGAGACAGGCTGGAGAGTACTTGGCCTGTTATGCAGAGCGTTATATTCCAACTCATTTGCGTAGGCTAGGGTGTAAAGTGGTAAAGACTATGCGAAAGGGGGATGATAGAGGCGTTCCCAAGTGGAATGTTCAGTGGGTCGAGAAGAGGTATAGTGTATCAAGATGCTCGAGCTGGACATTGACTTACAGCCCTACATAGTGCGGCGAAATCTCAGCCGGAAGATGGACCACTGGACGATGGAGTGTCTTCGGAAGATTTTGACCTGATTGTCATCGCCTCTGGATACTTTGCACAGCAGTATATTCCAAACATACCGGGGTTACAACAATTCCAAGGCCAAGTAATCCACAGCTCTTTGCTTTATTGTGAGCGAGAGCAGCGGCCTTTCGCTGAAAACGAGATGAATGGCCAGATCGTTGTCATTGGCGGCAGCATGTCAGGCGTCGAAGCCGCATCCGCTGTGGCTCTCGATCAATCCTCCTCGACACTTTCCACAACCAGAATCCCCCATATACCGCAGACCAAACTGCATCATATATCTTCAAGACCGTTTTGGACGTTACCGACCTATCTCCCCCACGAGCCTCCCGGCGGGACTCCATCATTTTTGCCGTTGGACTTGGCCATGTACGACCTAGGCCGCCGCCCCCCAGGTCCGATCGACTACACTTTGGGACCAATCTCCGAGGAAAAGGCGGTTCAAACGAACAGTTATTTCCACACCTTGCTTGGCAGTGACTACGAAAAGTACGCGCATGTGGATTCACCACACGGCGCCAAAGAGTTCAGAACCCAGCCGCCATGGGTCGCTATAGGCAATGATTACGCCGGGTTCGTCCGATGTGGAGCGATTCAGACATCGATGGGCCGGGTGACTTCTGTGCATTCTGATCCGGATACTCAACAAGCTTCAGTGCAGTACGTAGGGCCCAACGGGGACACCAAGACGATAGAAAATGTGACGACGATAATCATGGCCACCGGATTCACGCCGTACAAGTCATTGTCATTCCTACCAGAGGAAGTACTGACGAAGCTTGAATACTCCCAAACGGACCCCTTCTCGCCGTTGATTCTCGACAAGGGAGGCACCGTCCGCTCGGAACTCCCCGATGTCGGATTCGTCGGATTCTACCGCGGCCCGTACTGGGGCGTGATGGAGATGCAAGCGAGGTTCCTTGGCAAACTATGGAGTGGGTTGAATAACGGTGCACTCTGTGAAACCGACGAGCAGAAGCAAAGCCTTCGCAGTCTGAGATTGGCACCCCCGGATCTAGCCCGTGGTCAATTTCCCATGGGCGACTATGTCGGGTTGATCGAGTCGTTTGCCAAGGATTTGGATATTGATCGCTCGGCACTGGACTCCGGCACTAGTCGGTCTGGACCCGCTGTTCCTGCGCGGTATCTCTATGGCGACATTTCAACGCCAGGTGCACGGTGTGAGGCGGAGCGGACACTGGGTGCTTTGCGCGACGCTCTTATCCCAGGCCACAAAATAGCACAAAATGCCGCAGCGTCGGCTATCTTTCGGGCTCTGCATGGGACTTGGAAGTCTTCGGAGCAGAGAGCAGATACGGCTGGACGTGAAACGGTTGGGACTCTGGCCTTTTACCCGCGATATCCCACGAGCCCGGCATATGATAGGGAGTATGTCTGTGTAGAGACAGTGGATTCGACCAGATGGGAACAGCCTAGGCGAGGCAATGTACGGTTCATCATGCGCTTGGCAGAGGTGAGATTTGACATTGCCACTTCCCGAATTGAGATATGGTCATCGGGCTTGGCGGATCAGCCGTTTGCTGGTCAACTCATCCAGGTTTGGGAGTTGACGCCTCTCTGCCACGAGAGACAAGATGGAGCGTCTATTCCTGGAAGCTTTATGATATCCGCCAAGAGTGCTGATTCGGATTCTGGTGTCGAGTATTTGTACACGTTTCATTTCAAGGGTGTTTCCATCTTGTCCTGGGAATACGTTGAGGTGGACACTTTGGAAGGAAGGGGGGGTTTAGTTCTTATTCCTACACCCGAGACTAATGATATCCCTACGGTCAGATATTTGACTGTACACAAATATCTGACAGAATACAGAGACGCGGTGGGAGGGAAATTACGAAGGGCGAAGTTGTGCTGAACTTCCGGTCAAAAGACAACATAAGAGATAGGCATATATAGACTGGGGGAGGGTCTGGAACAGAGCTAGAGACCCCTTTCCGAGTATTTAGCATCATATAATACGCTCCAACATCCCAGGGAAAAAAGAGAAGTTCGATCTCAACTTATCCACATGCTCAATGTTCTAGACCAATGCAATCGTCATCTTTTAAAGTGATCTTGTTTTCGGGCCAAAATTGATTTTTACGAGGATTGAACCGGGTATCCAGACTCACTGTGTCGAGACTAAAAAAAAGTGACAGCTTTGATCTACACTAATCTCTCCCCTATTTGGCAGATGGAGATTTCCCGTAGTGGGTTCTCCGGGGTACATCCATGGCATATGGGGAATAGAGGCTTTGAACCAAAGTCTAGACGAACAGGTTTGGATGAGAAGGCAGGAGTCATGATCCAGCCAATCACTGCGATGTAGATAGCTTGGTTTAGGCTGGGGGTGGATCGTCTTCAGTTTTAAGATCTAGAACTTGGGAGGTTTTTCCACACTTCCGTATGTCGACCGTTCTACGTTATCACTAGTTCTTCATTTGTACAGTTGTACAGTTCTACATCTGCCCGAGTATCTTTTCCGGTCATCATTTAAGATTTATTTAAGATCTTACGACCTGCAGTTCCATGGAATTTGCAATATCAGAAGAACCCAAGTTAGGGTTGTGAAGCCTATATGCTTCCATCTGCGCTGCACATCCGCTACACACTCTCCATTCAACCACATGAACCATACGCCTCTTCTTGAATCAAGCCCTCAAACCCACGCATATCTCCCAACCCCAACCCCAACCCCTCACATCACCATGTCCCCCAGCAAAACTCCAACCCCAGATCCCCTCGACCCAATCTCCACATGGCGCGCCTGGCAAACCCTCACCATAATCTACACAATCCTGCTGAATCGCCAAATCCGCCGACGCTGGCTCCTCGAACAAATTTGCATGCAAGACAACCCTCTTTACGACCGATTCCAGCCCCTGATCTTCCTCGAACCAGTCCCAACCCTCCAAGAGCCCAACACCAACCCAACTCCCTCAAAATACGCAACCAACAACCCCTTCAACAGATCCACGATGCACAAACTACGCACGAGAGCCGCGGTCCTCCGCGCGCGCGTCGAAAAGGGCAAGGAACTCGCCTCCGAGATCGAGCGGCGCATGGTCCAGGATCCGCCGACCAGGTTTCCGACGCATTTCTGTCACACGTGTGTCCAGGATGGGGAGAGAGTTGAGATTTTACTCACCAAGTGTGGACATCGGGTGTGTAGGACTTGTCTTGGATATGGGGTTGATGGGAACGGGGTTTATGAGTGTAGTATTTGTCTTGGGCCGACGGGGTTTGTAGCGCGGAGTCCGTTGGGATTGGATGGGGAGTATTCTGGGGAGGTTTCTTCGATTTTGACGGGGCGTGGGGGGGAAGGGGATGGGGATGAGGATTGGGACTTTAGTGAGGTTTTGTTCGCTGATTGTTGAGTTGGGAGGAGAGGGGAGTTGGGGTTTAGAGGGTAAATGGAGATATATTGGTCGTTACAGCGTCAGATCATATGTTACTTGGAGAACTCATAATACAAAACCAAAAGGATGAAATTTATGTGCAAGGGACAAATTCTATCCAAAATAGCCCTCCTAGGCGGGAAGAAGTCCATCTCGTCCTTCTCACAGATCCAGTCCCGGTCAAAAAAGAAAAAAAAAAAAACAAGGAAAAAAAGTAAGAACTCTCCCGATGCTGAACACAGTCTAACGAATCTCGATCGACTAGATCAGACACCAGGGGAAAAATCCAGAATGCATCATGAGCCATAGCCTGGCCATCCAGGCCCTGGGAACGCCTTTTTCGCACCGAAATCGAGAAACGGGAATCCAAAAGTGGGGACACTATGCCACCGGGGAATGAGAGGGGGGGGGGGGGTAGGGTCGTTAAACAGTAAATATGAGCACCAATGCAAGACAGGTAAGTATCCACCCTCAAAGCGTGCATGAATCCGGGAGATGGCAGGAAGATAAGAGGGTGTGAGGGACAACGCCTACACGGATGGCAGCAGCAGTTCAGGGAGAAATCCAATGATAACCTCTCCGCCTTCAGCGGTCCTCTGCTTTCTCTCCGACGTCAATGACCATATTGACTTCTTTGACAGGATGCAACAGCATAGGAGGAAGACACATGCGGCCCTCGCCAGCCAGCTCCTGCTGCTCACCGCCGTCATTGTCGACGCGAAGACCAAGCCAGCGGCGCCAGATGTTCGGCGAGAACCCTGCCGAGTAGAACCAGGTCGTACCACGGAAGTTGTGTTCACGATCGCCGAAGACAGACGTGCGAGCGCCTCCCGAGGCTCCGTTGCGACCGGCATTGAAAACTGATTCCAGGTGGCGAGTGGGCCAGCGACGGTCAAAGTAGACGGCGTGCGGGACGAAGACGGCCTTGAAGCCGTGGTGCAGCGCAGTGGTCGCGGGCCACATCTCCGAGAACATACTGTGGCGCATCAGACTGCATTCGCGGTGCATGGTGATGAGCAGTTTGCGGGAGATTCGTGACGCGGTGATGATTGCGGTACGCCGTGGGGGCATGCCCTTCTCCTTGTTGTAACCGGTCACATCGTCGCGCAGCAACCAGGTCGTCCCCTCGGGGTCGTAGAGCGGATTGAAGACGATGAGGTCCGCATCCTCCCCTACGCCCCATTGGTACTGGTCCTTATCCATGCTGGTGGGTGGGATGCCCTCACCCTCCACCTCGAAAATATCCCGTTCGTCGGGGCGCTCGGGACCCCAGATAGACTTGTCGCCCTGTTGGTGCATGGCATTCCGCGGGTTGCCTGTCGCGCTGTTGGGGGCGCTCCACATGTTGTTGGCGGAGTTGGTGCCGCTCTCTGTCTGCACGCGGACCATCTGTCGGAAATCTTCCCACGAGCCGTGGACGGACGGAACATAGAAGCGAGCATTACGCTCCCAGAGACCCTTTCGTGGCTGCTTTTTCGCCCACGCGCCGACCTTGTCGAACAGGTGGTACCAGTGGCCCGTGTAACGCGCATCCATCTCCCAGTTCCAGAAGTAATCATACTCAGGATGCTGGAAAGCGAAGTACTGCAAGGGCATGTGCGTGCTGCGGTAGACACCGTGGATGGGCAACCCGCGAGTCATGGTCTCCTCCAATCCGGGATACATCAGGGCCATCTGCGGCTCGGACCAGAGGGTTCCCATGCCGCGGAACTCCTCTGGCAGCGCTTTGTCAAGCACACGCTGGTATGTCTCGTCATCTGACCAAATCTGCAAGTTGGTGTCCTTGACGTGAACCAAGAAGTGAATGGTATACTCGCCACCGGAGAGTAGCGAGAGCTCTGAGATGATAGAGCGCATATACATAATGTCCTCCGGGGTATAGTGGAAGTCGTGCCATGTGCGGATAACCACTGCAGTGCGCGGCAGACGCTCAAGTCCAACCCGAGGCGGTTCAATGCCGTTGTCCTCTGTAGGTGGCAGGCTCTTTACCCTGGGAATCCCTACAGACATGGAAACAAAGCGGTTGAAACGAGGCTCCGGCGGCTCATTGAAGCGATGGCGGTTGGCCGCGTGACAGCGGTGTTGCGCAGCAGCCCAATCCACCTGTCGAAAGTCCACTGGCGGGATATCCTCCCATATACGTTCAGCACCCTCACGATGTCCCTCCATGCCCGCGCCGATACCGCCTTTCTTGACCCCGTATCCAAGCCCGTATGGGCCCAATCGGCCAAATCGATCAAAGCACATGTCGTCCCGAATACCCAACATCGTATTCGAGCCTAGCGCTGGGTCCGGGAAGCCCTTTGGGACTCCGGGGTAGCTTTGGATAGGCGGAACCCGCAACGAGTTTTCTGCGTTAAGGAAGCACTCGCGCGTCTCGCCATATTGCTCCATGTATTCCGGCGACTGGTAGTCAGGATAAGGGTTGAACACATTGCTCAACATATTCGGGGCCACATCCCTCTTAATCACCGTGTTTGCGTCCTGCTCCTGCTCCTGCTCGTTTTTTCCGTCGCTCTGGTCCGTCCGCAACCCCAGGTCGTCGGAGCCATCGCCGGGGTACTCGGGGACATTTTCAGAGCGGGGTACCAAGGAAGAGATACCGCCCTCGTAGCGATTGAGGAACGGGAAGCTCTCCCATAGTGGCGGCTTTGGGGTGCCGACCTTGGGCAGGTCGACGGAGACTTGTTTACCGGAGGTGGAGATGGTAAAGCGGAAGAGGGTAAGGATGAAGAGGACGAGCGCCGCGAAAAGAGCGAAGCAGAGCCAGCGCATGATCCGCTGGGGCACGCGAAAGCCGACACTAGCTTGGGGGCGGCGAAGACTGCCGCCAGCTACGACGGGCGGCGGATAGGAGTCTGCGACATTGTTATCGTCCAGCGACTCGTCGGAATCGGGGTGATCGCTCAGGTGGTGGTGATATGCGTGTCGCCCGGTCGTGGGTTGTTTTTCGATGTCGGTATCGCGTGAATTATAGGGTGATGGGGACTTGTATGCTGCGGAGTGCCTCCTCGCCTGGACGGTCATGATGCCAGACAAAAAGTCAACATTGAATGAGTGGGGTAATTCCAAGGTTGTCCAAAATCACTCAATCACTGGCGCATCTATCTAACCGGTGTAACAATAGAATTATCCGATCAATCTTGTCCAAATCAGGGGTGTTTGTTAAGAGGGAGGGAGAGGCACGCGATGTGTTGATCGTCGGCCTGGCAATGGGGCCCAGGCTTGTGTCACTGTGGAGAGGTACACGACGTGCAAAGACGTGCAAAGACGAGAAAACAGCGAAGGCAGTGGGAAAAAAGAAAAAAAAAAATCGTAGAGAGTCGGCGAAACTGCTTAAGAACCAGACCCTTTTCAAAAGCAAAACAAAAGATAAACCGCCCTAAAGGGCCCAAACCGGTATTTTCGCAACAGTGCCAAGACTTGTTGGCGCTGTCCGAGAAATGAGGGATTACGCAGTCTCCTCAGTTGGGTCCGAGAGATCAGCCCTAGAGACTCCCCTTTCTCTTCTATTTTTAACCTCGAGATTTTTGAGACCTTTTCTGTTGTTACATACTTGATCGTATGGCCTTGTTGAATGGTTTTCCTTGGTGGGTTTGAAGTCGGATTGTCTTGTTCGAGGATAGTTGAGACGTCGATGATGGATCTCCCTCTTTTCCCGATTCAGACAGCAGAAAGAGAAGGCAGATGCACTTAACCAGATCATGTTGGTGTTGATACAATTGGTCATATCCATCATTTCATACTTTTCCTCACTTGCGCTAGAATACAACTTCCCAACTCCTGGTGCCACACAGGGTTCGTATCCTCAGCAAACTCTCTATATAGATCTTCAAGTGCACTTCCATTGCGAGCAACTTCTACATTGAGAACACAGTTCTATTTCCTTCTTGTCCATATACATAAGAGAATCGTCAAGCTTTAGAAGCGTAGAATTGAAGATCAGATGATACATGCGTCTAGCTCGTGTGTGACTTGGAAACTGCCACACGCTCGATTATCTTCAACCCATAGACCGTAGTCACACAGTACTTCAGAATATGGTTCTCGAACTATGTCTCTTAGACAGGAGTTAATTTCTTGAATAGGATTGCTGACCTTTTGTCGCGGAGGGAAAATGGTTTCCAGAAACGGGGGTTCAGCCCACATTTAGTCTGCTACAACCAGCATCCCTGATACATTTGCCATAGGGCCTCTCACTACCAGTGAGTTCTTGAACGGAGTAAGGGGTGGCATGAATTGGGATCGTGGTTCCTGTAAGCCAGGAGAGTCGAGAGGCTAGCGTAAAGCGCCTAAATGTCATCCTAATGACTACACTCACGCATCAGGAAGCAACAAGATTGCGTATATCAAGCCACATGCAATTCCTCAAATGAAGAGGTATTGGTCACTTATAGCCTGGAAATATCCAAACGATCATCTCGCTCTGTTGACCAAGTAAATAAGATCTCTCTTATTCCTTGGTTCACCAACGAAGCGGCGTGTGACAAAGTAGCGTTTTACAATGGTTGAATGCACCCCGTTCTTTATCCGGATAGCATCTTGAATCCAGAGATTCTTCAAATCCTACGTATCGTGGACTGGCAATCGGCCGGTGTTGCAACTTTCTTCTACTATACCGACGTTCCAGGGATATACACCGACCATGGGCCTCTTCAGGGAGGATGGGTCGTACCCGAACGACCGAAGGACTTCGATACCCTAAATGTAGAGGAACAAAGCAAGATCGACAATGATTAAAAAATTCAAATCCCTCCCAGATACGACAAGGCCTAGGTGCGCAATGGATCGCCTCGTTCCCAGTCTTATCCCCCAAAATAAAAGGAATCCTATCATCCGCAAACCAGTGTGGCTCGTCAACGGAGTGTGGGAAACCCGCAATCTAGATTGAATTTGCGAATCACTCATATCGATGTTCGTTTGTTGGGAAGAGCTTGTTCTAGATATGCCATGTCCGATTCATGTCACCAATGAAGAGATCGATCTTCATTCCGAGGAAGGCGAGAATACAAATGGTGTCAGGAAATCGCTACTAGAGCTGCGAGATGGATTGGTACTCCCGGTGGATGGTAAGGTCGAGCCCAAAGACTATATGATACAGCCCTCAAAAGAATAGCCGGAAAATCAAGAACATCTTCGTCGGACCGGCCAAAGAAAACGTAGCAAAAGCATCCTTCACGAGACTCTGACCATATTAGGAACCCGCAGACACTGAGGGATTGTTATTGATCAATGCGGAGATACGTCTTCGGCAGTCAGTGGGTTGTGTGTTTATAGCGTCCGTCCAGGCAGTTAAGTGCGTTTTGTCCTTTAGAGCTGGGGCACTCCACGTGAATCCCAGCCAATTAAATATCATCCTACTGCAATGAATGTTGGACATGCACCACATAATCTCAAAGTCATTAACGATCTTAATTGTCCTACATAACCTGAAGAGCCAAAAAAAATCCAGAATTTTTTTAAAAAAAACCCCCGGTAAAGCCTCAAATGCCGGAGACCGTCACGTGATATCACCTACGCCCGGACTGAAATTTACTGACCCCGACTCAGCCCTACAGGTCTCCTAGAGCGGCCAAGATGTGAAAGATGATGGGAAGATGGAAAGCAGGTGGAAATTTCAAAATTTCTGCTCATTTGTTCCTTTCCTGTTCTCTCTTTTTCTCCTTGCCCAATCTGAGATTCTGAGATTCTACAGTTGTGAGTGCTTATACAGATCTCGGAGGGGGGGAGGGGGGGTTCCAAGGCAGAGAAGTAATTTTGCAGTGGCGACGCCGGAGGGAGGAAAAACAAATGAGGCTAATAGCATAGCGTAGAGGAAAAAGAGCCGTTTGAAGAGAGAACATCAAAAGAAGTAGCGAACCAGTTGCAGAACCCCTTTCCTTGCAGAGATCAATGTCATGTGTGGCCAAAGAACTCCCCGCCATCGTCATCATCAATCCATCATTTGCAGATTTCGGTTTTCACCTTCAGCCACACGTCCGAATCGAATTCGCATTATAGACTTTAATCGCGGTTGGTTTTCCGGAGCGCATCGGCGAGCCACTCCAGACCCTCGTACAGACCGTCACCAGTGGTGGCGCAGGTAGATTGGATGAACTAGATCAGTCGTTAGTAAACCGATAGAGATCACGGAATAACGATTTCACTTACCCAAGCACGACGGGTAAGGCTCTGAAGACCAAGCTGCTGCGTGATCTCGGCGGGGCTCATGGCGTTCTAGACAAAAGCGGGGGAGGTCAGCATGACATTTCATCTGGCAAACATTCTCCAACAATCCAAATCCTTACCGGCAAATCCTGCTTGTTGGCAAACACCAGAAGGAGAGCATCACGGAGCTCATCCTCGTTCAACATGCGCTGCAACTCCTCCCGGGCCTCAACGACACGATCGCGATCGTTGCTGTCGACCACGAAAATGATGCCCTGAGTGTTCTGGAAGTAGTGCCGCCACAAAGGACGAATCTTATCCTGACCACCGACATCCCACACGGTGAACTGAATGTTCTTGTATTCGACAGTTTCAACGTTGAATCCTGCACTAGGCGTCAGTTTCCGGGAGAGGTATCAACATTTCCTAAATGGTCTTCTAAATTGCGAAGAGCGCATCTCGGTGTCGCCGGTAGATGGGTCGGGGAGCGGACTAACCAATCGTGGGAATAGTGGTGACGATTTCACCGAGCTTGAGCTTGTACAGGATGGTGGTCTTACCGGCGGCGTCAAGACCGACCATCAGGATGCGCATCTCCTTGCGACCCCATAGCCGATCAAACAGCCGCGAGAAAGTAATGCCCATATTGTCGGTAGCGAGAAGTCCCTCGGATCCTGAGGAGTGGATAGGTCAGAGAGATATCAAAGGATGTGGTTGAAAGGGGAAAAGCGGAGGGGTTGGAAAACGTGTTGTGGACTTGTCGGTCAGAGATCAAAGGGGGGGGGGCAAGTCTGAGCACGAGCCAGTCAAAAACCGGATCAACCACTTACCGGCAGGAAAAGGTATAAATTTGGTTTGAAGAAGTAAAGAGCAAGTTCAGGGGAATTATCGAAAGAGAAGTCAGAAGGGGAAATTCGGGGTTTAGTTTTTGTTTTGAATACGCAGAAATACGCTGACCGATGGCGGTGGGCGTCGTCTTTGTCACCCGATTTTCTGGAAGAGCACGCAACAACGTTAGGGAAATGAGGCTGAGAGAGAGATACAAAAGAAGCAACGTATGATTCTACGGGCTCTTTCAGGTACAACTTGTATGACTGATATAATAATTTTGCCTCTATGGACGATGGAAATGTACATTTTCTGGGAAGAGGACACCGTGTTGACCCCGTAAGTGAAATACCATGGTGAATTAGCCCCCAGGCGGGCTAAGACCCTGGTCCCACCGTGTCTGATAGGCCAACTGATAGGCCCGAACTTCCACACTTAGCGTGCCTGTGTAATTTCTCTGGGCCCCTCTCTCTCTCTCTCTCTCTCTCTTC